ATCTCTATATGTCATGCTAACTCAAACTACGATCAATTAATTGATGTAAACTTAATTTTTCTTGGCTTACAAAAACAGAAGTTATCTTTTGTTTCACTAACACTTATCATGATTAGAGAAAAGTCGACATATGATAGAGCTTTAAAACAATTACTCGTTTGTTACCAGAAATGATGCCTTTGTGAAATTTAAAATTCGTGTTTCATAACAAATCTCGTATTCGAGTCAACCTCGAACACTATCTAGTTTCTGGTAAGCCTATTAATACTCATATCAGAAAATTCTTACGATTTCTTTCTTTGTTACATTCTCTGATTCCTTATTTTTTTTGTACACGTAGTTGTTCTACAAGCGCCTTATTTATTTTCTAATAGGAATTAAAGGGCATATACCAAAAAACGGAAGCCAACAAATCATCATTGATTCTGCAAGTGCTTTGTTTGTTCATTAGTAATAGTTGAAGACAATCTATATTTAAATTTTACTACATGACATATCAATCTGTTTTTCGATTCATTTTTCTGAAGGATTTGTCAATATTGGCACTGAAGCACTACAATAGTTGCTCCTTCTCTTGAATTATTTTTCTTTTCCTTCCTACCAGTATTCATCATATGTGTGGCTTGTATTTATTTCTGTAAAGGTTGAAGAAACCACAGACATTCTAACCACCGACGAATGTGGTAAGCTGCGCTTGAAATCATTTTGTTCAAGGTTTTTTTCACTATTATATTAGCATTCTAACGATTTTGATGGTAAGGATATGCCAAGAGGAAGTCTCTCAGTCTCCCTTAATCTTGGTTTTACTATTAATAAGTTCTGGTCTCGATTAGATTTATTTTCGATCTTGTTATTTATCATAAATAAGCTAAGTAGTCATTCATAGTTGAAATTATGAGATTTTCAGTCTTTCCACCGAGACTAACATAGGTTGAGGTGATTGACGCCTAGAGTTTTGCTTGACGCTCGGTCTCTGTACTTCCTTATTCCCCAGCTGTTTAACTTTTCTCCCTTACCGTGGTGGTAGATGTTCTGCTGGAGAGAGTGCTTCATGCTTTAAAGATGAGAGCTTTATTCTTGAATATCTCGTTAAGGTGGTATCAATAGACAAAGGACTTGACATAAAGAAATAAGTTCTAACGGATAGTTAAAAGCATTAGATATAAAAAATAATCCTTTATACATGGAAATGGAGGGATTGATATGAGGATTTAGGTAGAGACGTAAGTGTTTAGATATAGATATGAGGTGTCAAGATTAAAAATCATCGATTCAGTGTATTGATGAGGATTTAGATGCAGATGTAAGAGCTAAGGACAGGTACTATCGATTAAGAATAGATTTTAAGGTGTGAAATATAGATATACGGGGTTAGGAATAGATAGAAGTGCTTTGAAATATTTGTACGGGATTCGAAATGTATTGATGTGAAAGGCTAGTTGAAATAGTTCGAAATGGATAGATCGGTTTATATGAACGTATCGAATAATGAAATGGAAATATAGGTAGATTAAATAAGTGTTTAAGCTTGGATGGATAAACGGCATAGTATTATCTTGAATGTAGTATAAAATAGCAACACCGAAAGCCTTTTACAATCAATGAAAGACAAAATTCCATACAAAACCTTCTTCATACGAAACTTCAAAGGATTTCGATTCCGTCACAAAAATTGAGACATTTTCGGGTTTCGTATGGTGACCATTTTTTTTCAGTGTAGATTCTTGAGAATTATTCTGAGAATATCAGGGGTTCGTACGAAATATTTTTGAATTCGTTTCAAAAATGGCTCGCTATGGTACTATTTCTTTGTCAGTGCATGATGTCGTATCGCTTTACATCGAGAGAGAGATGGCTTCTGTCAGCATTGATGCCACATATACTAATTGCGGCTTGAGTTTTGTATTCTTCTCTCTGTGCTATTGTTTCGGACCCTTCGCGGCACCCAAACTTGCCAAGATGATGTGTGTGTATCTTTTTTGTGAATCTCGTTTTCTGGATTGAGTAACTATCTAATTAGAGTTCAAAAATAAATGAACATTTTCAACGCAGACACACTTTTTATGTAAAGGCTAAAAGTAAATCTTTATTCAAAATCGATTTTTTGAAATGGCAGCAAGTGGTCATACAACTCTACCTGTAAAAGAAAAAAGTTATCCGAATGAGAATTCTGAATACGTTGGGTATGCTGTGTTCAGACATAGATATCACTCATTATTCTTTAATGGTTGGTTGCGGCTTTAGACGTTTCGGTTGTCAAAGTAAGGCATCATGAGGGATACTGAAATAATCATCTGAGATGCTGCTTTTTAAAAACCGCATTCTAATGATAACAGGTCGATTTGTGTACAAGGTATTGTAGATGTTTTGGTCATTTTTGGAAGGTCCGACTTGAAATGAAACAGTACTTAACTTGAAGAGTGCAGCGAAAGAGATTGATAGCACGACTAGCTAAGTGGACAAGAAAAGGATTTATAATATAATATACCTAAAAGCATGGAGTCCGTAGCTGATTCTACAATGTTGGCAGCAGTTACATTGAAACATATCTATAGTGAATTCGTTTGAACTTTTCGAAAGTATTCATTTTAGAGATGTGTTTACTATAGAAAAGTTATGTTTTATTTCCAGACGACAAAAGTCTTTTTCAGAATAATATACATATTTTTAGGCATTGAATTGCTCGACAGTGAACCATTTGAATACTAGTTGACCCAAAGGGGGAAAATTGGATCCTTGAATCTTGATGATTCCTCTCAAGATCTACGAGGAGCCATCATGAGACGTCAAGATTCATCAGTATCCATACACAAATAATAATACTGCGAATATAAGTATCGCTGTCTAAATCATGCAAGACAAAGAATTTGTTCTTTGTTTTTAATAAGATGTATTTTCTTCATTCTGGCATCTCAGCAATAAAAAATCATTACTTTGAATGAATAATGATAATCATCTCTACATTTTCTTTGAACTCAAAATCAGTGTTCACTGTACAGAGGTTATTTTTGAAAAAGGGATTTTCGAAATATGTCCATTGTAGAAAGGGTCAATTCCAGCAAAATTGGTCCCGTTGGACGAGAAAGTGTCTATTATAAGGAGGTGCGCATTGTGAGAATCATTACTGTAAGTGAAATCTTACTCCAGCTGAGAGTCTCAATGATAACTACTACTGTCTGTACATAAGCAGCTGCATATTCTTAAGTATTCGTGCGTACAGAGGGATCGATGTATGAAATTCCGGTTTCAATCGAGATGCATGTGGGTTGCAGAGCTTCGCGCTTCCTTGTCGGGACGCAGGTATAAAACATCATTAAGGTGAGAAAACGCTCTTCTCCATAGAAAGTAGTCATTATAGCTAATTCAGACATCAAATACACAATACGACAAAGAAAGATGAACTACTGAACAGTCGTGTCTATGTTTCCACGAGCTAGTCATTCAATAGTTAGAATCAAGGTACAGACTTGACATGTATGTTACGGTTCAGATAAAATATGATCTTTTGCTTTTTCGCTGCAATAACGTCGAAATGATTTTTGATTTTTCAAATGATTTTGTGTAATTAAAGTTCCATTTACATTGGAAATCAAACTAGACATATAATGTATTGGCCAATGCTTTTGCGGCACCCACGCCGACTGCGACGATACGTGCACCCTTTTGTGTCTGTCGTTATTTCGGTCAGTCCCCTTGCAGCTCCATTTTAACAGTGGTAAGTAGTACATGATTCATCTCCCTAATCGACGCTTAATAGGTAATAACTAAATTGCTCAGAGAAAAATCTTTTTTTCTATACTATTCGTTGAGTACCGAAAACTATCTGGTTTTTGGAAAGCCAATGTACTTTCCTGGAAACCCTTATAAACCGTTAAATCAACTGAGCGCTGGATTGCTTTATATAAAGTATTGCATCATCACCCATAACTTCACTGACACAAGAACTCTTACTTGCAGTTAATCGGTGCCTCTATACCGCTATAGCAAGATCACTATGATTCGAAATCTTCTATTACTTTCCAAGAAACGAATTTTTCTGACTTTATTGGTAAAATGAGCAAAGTGGACATAATGGAAACCAAGGAAATCATCCTTATTTCTTAACCCTGTAACATAATGATAGTCTATTTTCTTCTGATTCTAAACACTAGCAAATATCGTCATTTCATCGCGCTCATACAAACTACGATGGTGTGAGTATATGGTTCTGTGTATGTTCTACCCTCAACAAAATCTTTTCCCCGTGCCCGTATCAAGAGAGATTACTTGCCTGTTTGTTAGCTTAAGGCTTCAAATTTGTGAACATCGTGCCTAATCTTCGAAAACGGTACTTTCTTTATAGATTCATTAATATTTCGAAGACTCACATGATTTCTATAAAAGTCATATGGTTTTCGAAAATACATTTCCTATATGGAAAGTCATTAATTTTCCTGAAAGCTCATACAATGTATAATATGATAAAAATATATCGTCACACTTCTATGGTTGTGTAAAAACATACTGTGATACCGGTTATACCACTCTACAGCTATAAAATATAGTGATATAAATTTATTTTGTCACAAACTTAGACGACTTTCAAGAATATGATTTTGCTACAAATTGAAATTCTCCCTCATATGCTTTTTTTGCCAAATTTTGAATGCACTAATTTTTCTTCGACAGTTTAGATCTTTTCTTTTTCTTCTGTTTCATTGTTTTTACAATATTCTCGTGATTATATTCCATTCTTTATAAACCATTTATAAGAACGATGTGACGATCATTAATACACTTTTTTTGTGTTTTTAATGCTCTTCTTTATCGTGCTAAAAAATTAAAGAGTACGAACAAAAATGCTCGTAATATTATAAAACAGATGTTGGATATTTGTATTCGAGTCTAATGTTGATGATCCTTGGTTGAGCATTTGACATATTTATGATGAATATATAACTTAATGATCATTAGTTTTCTTTTATTTTAAGAATCTATTTCTACTTTGTCGACTCCGAAAAATGACAAATGATAATGCAGCTGACATGTTATTTAAAGAAATTGACACAAATCAGGATGGAAGGTAGAAATTAAGAATTTATATTAAATAACAAATACATATATGCATATTTAATGTTGATAAAAGGGGGTTTCGTAATTGGATTTCAAATACTGAAGAATGTACTACGTCAAATGAATCAATTACTGGTGCACTGAATCATAATGATGATTGTACCAATCAATTTGGTCGATATCGATTTGAACATGTTTCTCAAGATGATTTGGGATGTAATGCTAATAGATATAGTTCATGTGGAACTAGAAGATGGATCGATGATACAGGGATTGATACATATAGTCCAAAAGAAACAAATTATTATTTGGAAAAATTAGGTTCGAATTTATATATTGATTCTAATCCAAAAATTATTCGACAAAAAATAAACTCAAGTCCGGTAACACTTGAACAACGAATTTTTGTTCAATATCTTCAACCACCAGCTGTACCACCACCAGGAGTAATGAAACATATTGATTATAAATTCAATTCTACTAATCTTTTTATGACTTTAGCCACTCATTATTAAAGAAGTACGCCCACGACAACCATCACCACCTCCACCACTTGTCATACGCGAACATGCGCCCCCTCTTCCTTCACTACCTCCACTTATCTTACGTGAACGACCACCAACACCACCAAAACATATTCCCAGTGAAAAAAGTTAGAAAAACAACCAAAAGAAACTTTTATTACATAGCTTAGATTTCTCAATGTATTGTATTTTACAGTTATTCGTACCTTACCTGCTTTACCTATTCCACCACGATCAGTTATCATCAAACGTTTTCCGCCTCCTCCAGAAAAACCACGTAAATGAATATCTTCATTTTTCTTTCTTGGTTTTTCTTTAAAATCCAGATTGTTGTTTTCTTTTTTAATTGAGGTGATATTATAATTGAACGATGGATTCCCTACGGACCTCAACCTGAACGGTGTACCATTGTTGAGCATGCTCCTCCTGCTAAACAATACCCACAACCATCTAATACTACTATTATTTATTCTGCTACTGAAACACGTATAATTCGAAAATATCAAGAGCTTGGTGTTACTCCAGAAAATCCTGCATGTTATAGAGCTCGTTATGGATCATCACTTTTAGATCCAGTCACACTTGTTCACGAAGCTCGTAAGGCTGGTGTTATGGAAGATATAGTAAACTTCTTTTGAAAAACAAAATATCTTCAGAAAAAAAAACTATGTAAATCTATTGTTTCAGACGCCCCCAGCACCATCATCTTTATTACGTACAACTGCATATGAATTTCCTGTTTATTGTGATCGATCAAATGATGTAATCCATACAGATTATTCATCGACGGTTCGAACTACTATTGAAGAACATCAATAATACATTTAAAGTACTGTTTCACTGAAATTCTTCTTTTTTCTATTTAAGTACAGAAGTTTTTTCTTGTCGTTTTTATCATGGGGCATATACATTATATAATCAAAGAAAGGGAAATAAAAATAAAATAAAGATTGATCATACATCACTAATACCACTATTAGCTGAATCATGTTTTCTTGTATACTATGTTGGTATTACTGTAAACGAGCTGTTTCCATTGTATTATATCAGATATTTGGATAATATAATCATTTTTTATTCGAAAATATAGGTGTTTTTTATGAATATAATTCTATTTGCAAGGTGTGAGTGAGTGTGAGTGCATATGGTTGTCAATGATCTACACCATTCGTTGCAGAACAGTACAAAAGGTCTTGAATTGGTTTGAAAATTTTGAAAAATGTTTGTTTTCGAAATATTCGTAATCGATTTTGAGATACTAAGCCCTCTGATAAGACTGGTCAAGCATCAGTTGAAACGCGTCGTGGTAGTTTCTACAGATCCACCATCGAGATCGCTAATTATTGTGAACCGATAGAAGTGTACATACGTCGATAGCTGCTTAGATTTACATATTCACATGAAAAAGCTTCTTCTTACACAACGGAAACACTTTATTATGAAAAAAATATTTATTCTGAAGAGTATGTTACAGACAAAAATACTTTTGGGATTAACATACGCAACATATTTAGTTTTGAGTTTGGTTATATTATAAAGTTCTGTTTCATTAGTGTTCATCCCTACAAGTCTGCAGTTCCAATGGGCCCAATCTGGTTTTCTTCACCAAAATATAAAATTCTTCCATTATTTAATCAAAGCATAGTCCCGACAAAGCGTACTCTAAGTATTGAAGGACCAACTGTTCATAGTCGTTTTATTGGATTATACAGTTCACCACTATTCATATAACCAAAATCATTGTTGCCACCAGTAGCCAAAACTTTACCATCGGACAATGTTAGTATTGGTGTAAATGATCTCATCGCATCCATACCCCCACCCCACCCCACCCCTACCCTCACACCCTAGTTAGTATTTGTAAATATTAAATACTATGCTCACTTCGGGAGACGACACTGATGTGACATAAAAAGGCATCAGTCAGAGGTTATTCATTGTGGGATGTAGATGTGGGCATAGGTGTGTGTCGATGTGAGTCAAATCTTGATTTCCAATCACACTTAAACCTAGCCCCAAACCCATATCTACAACCACAGTCATAGTCATACCCCACACCCACATCCACCCATACCGACAGCTACCCCATACTCACATCCATACCCACTCTGTAAAAAAAAGGAGTTTTGCAGAAAGGTACCCGATAGCAGAACCCCAAACAAGGTTCTGCTATCGGGTACCGTTCTGCAAAACTTCTTTTTCTTAGAGAGCATGCCCACACCCATACCTACGCCCACACTCACATCCTTCTGATCCAATCCAGTTCCAAAATAAATACTCTTTTTCTCTATACACTTTTCATATTACAATGAGTGGTCTTATCCATCCAAGCCCCAAAACATATCTATACTATTTCCCTATATACTTTTTATATCGGAATAAATTTACTCACCTAACCCAACCCAAACATATATAGAGTTTATTTCTTTATACTTTTTATATTAAAAAGAATTTCATTACTTAATCTAACTGTAAAGATGTACAGTTCGTTCGTGTATACTGTTTACATTAAACTTTATCTTCTATGCTTATTTTTCGAGCTGCTGATCTTAATAATTTGAAATTTTGAGAGGATTGTTTTATTCGAATTTCCTGAAAATAGAGACTTACCGTGTACTGCAACTTGTTAAACTGTTAGCCATAGTGAGCCAGTCATCAAACATCTTTGGATTTTTAGCACTAACGAAATATATATGTTCTATTCCTTTAAGACCAATATGTTTTATTTCCTCGTTAATTTGTCTTTTAACTAGTTCTTGTTCATCTGGTTCGACTTTGTCGAATTTATTGAAAACAATATCATAATGTAATCCGACTTCATCTAAGAGTTTCATCATGCTTGAATTTTCTTTTACAGTTGCTTGAATAAGAATGAGACGTCGTGAAAGGCCCTTAAAGAAAGATATGTATTCCATACTAAAAAAGGATACTTCATCATTTCGACCAGGAACATCCCATAGTGTAAATTCAGTTCCACTGTATGGTGTAACTTTTGTAGTAGTTTCACCAACGCCTGTATCAGCAACGTTTTGACCAAGGAGAGAATTAAGCATAGTTGACTTGCCAGTTGACGTCAAACCAAAAAAGCCAATATTGATACCTTCCAATGGCGCGGGTCTAGTTGCTTGTGCCAAGTTTACAAGAACTTTTTTTGCTTCTTTGTCTTGTTTTACCAGATCTTCAAATGATTCGATCTTTTGACGTTTCAATTGCATATGTAAAGTATCAAAACGTTTGAAGAGTTCAGAATTTTTCTCACGATATTTAGCTGATTCTTCGCTTAATTTAACAGTTTCGGATGAGTCTTCAGATCCTATCATTGAAAAGTTTTAAAGTATATTTTTAAAGCTATAAATTTGTCAAATCGACATCTCCTATCCACTGAAAGTAAGACATTCGATCTTATATGTCCATATGCGAATACGAAGAAATTTCATTTGTCGAAAGTTGGTAAAGTAGCATAAGTAGCAAAGATGCTTCAAAGAGATTCAACAAGACTTTTGCTCTAGAATAAACATTAGCTTTAAAAATTTGATTTGCACTTATCAACTTATCATACTTAAATCCTTTTTCCAACTTTCTGACGTATTTTTTCCTAATATCATATGTGCACATTAAATTAGAATATTGTATTTTATTTAAAGTTTTTTCGTACTTATAAGTCACTAAATTAACTGGTGTTTCTGAAATTTATTTCTATAAATTAAGAGTAAAATTGTCAGAAGCAAGAAATCGTTTAATTTTCGTTACAAAATTAACCACACAATCAAAATATTATTAGTAAATAATTCAAAAGACGAAAAAGACTATGTGAACTTACGTCGTTTTGAAGATAAGTCATTCATCACAGCTTCAACTAACTTAGCTGAGAGGGACATAAATGGTACGAACGCCGAAATAATGCAATTAGATCTTTTTTGAAGATTTAAGGCAAGACAATTTTATTTTTGATTGGTGTAGAAATCTCTATCATTGTTATCTATATATACATCTACTGATAAAATCTTTTCTCCTTCATTTGAATGTTCTTTCGATGAATAAAAAAAACATCAGCTTTATAAAATTTATAACCTTTAGTGCAATAGCACATGTTTTTTTCCTGTTCCTTCAATGACAGCCTTTTTGCTTTTATGCGTTCTCTATTCTATATTTGTAGTTCTATTCTTGAGTATCCAATTACAACTGAAAATAACATATTTGCTCTTTTTTCTCTATTCCTTCTCTCCATCAAATATTTACTGATAGTAAATACCATGGTTCCATTGATATGATGAAAAATAAATCAGATGAAATATCTTTAACGATTCAGACAAAAACCGGTTTTTATTCCTCATACTGCATAAATTAAAAAGAAAAGAATTCTCAGTTATATCGTCTTAAGCTGGAGCTTTTTGTAAAATACACCAGTAGTACTTGTCGCTTTTTTAAGTTGTTGTCAAGTTTAATTTGAAAAGTATGCTTTATTGAAACTAACTTAATGGATAAAAATCACATATCGATAAATGATTGTTCTCTTTTTGTTTAAACAAAGAGTGGCAGATAATATCTAGTATATTATTGCGAGTTCTTACTCCCACTTATACTTTATTCGTATATTTCTTTTCGTAATCTCTCTTCTTTCACAAAACTTATCGCTATATATATATTATTATTAGAAGGGTTGGAAAATTCCTACAAACGATAAGCAGGAAAAAATCCATATAACAAACAAAAGACAGAAGGACACAACGAAATGAAAAATTCCAACATGTATAGAAGGAAAGGAAAAACTATGAAAGGTGGCTAAAAATAAGAGAAAAGAAGAGGAACATGAGTTCATATGTATAATCGTATAGATAGAAAGGAAAAATCTTTATGATTGCATCTGAAGAAGATGCAGATCATAGCATCTCCTCTGACCAGCAGAGATGCGCGTCTCGCATATCGGAAAAATAACAACTAAAAATAGAGAAAAACAGATAATGAAGAAAATAACAAGAGATAATAACTACTTGAGAAACAAAACTAAGAAAAAAAATAAACAGGGTTAAGTAAAACACAAGAACATAAAGAAAAGAGAAACAAGGATGTGGATGTGAATGTGAATGTATTTCGTACTGATTCACACCCACACCCTTTATAAAATTGGATCTTTTATCTGTAATTTTATTAGATTTATTCTACTATATTAACCAAAGTTGCTTCCTTTCGGAATTTCAAATTGATCTAAAATTGCAATTCTCTACTCTTCATCAGAAAAATCATCACTACCCAACTCTTTTCCAAAATGAGCATTGACCATATCACAACATATAACCTCAAATACACACCTCACAACACATTCACAGAGACTGTCAAACACACACAATAAAACTACTACTAAACAAACATCAACTCTATTCATAAAAACAATTTCTATGACGATTACCATTATCTGATCACATGATGTTCCAACTAGCATGAGCTACAGTATGCCTCAATGACACTAATTGCACCCATACTTACATACATAAACATTAAAATCCTGCATTACAAATTGATCTCTCTTTTCCATTCAATGCACTTTTCGGTTCTGGTACAACACAAATATCATATAAAGAGCACACTCATTAAGAGAGACGCGCTGTATTTACATTGATGACAGTATGCCTGATTCCAAGCATTCTCAGCAAGAGCGATATACTCTATATGATTAACGGTGGATTTGTATTTTCACGCTTCTATTTCTATCGCTTCAGCGTCGAAACTCATTTCATTTTAAAGAATATGGTACATTTTGATGGAAACTAGTATAGGGTGTGGGTGTGGGTATGTGCGGTTGTCAAAGATAGGATGAGAGTGAAGATTAAAGCTACACCCACACCCACATCCTCATTTGATCGATGTCATAACCACTATGAGATGGTGATAGAGATTGTGAACTAACTGATGGAGATTTTTATAATAATGAATTAGACACTATCGATTTCTTAAAAATAAAATAAATTATGAAAAAAGGAAATCATATATAATTAAAAACTTAAATTAAAATTATTGTCATTATTATTTGCTATTGAAGGAGGAGATAATTTGAGCATATCAAGTAATATATTTAGCATTTACTGTGTGGATGATGATGATGTATAGGATTGCTCTTGTGAATTATTTTGTAAAAGATTATATAAATTTTTATTCATATTTTTAATAGACATATAAATGATCATTGATTTAATATTGTTGATGTTGAAAATAAATCATTGGATGATGATAGTATTTGTTTATTTTGAAAATATACTGGGACCAATTCGGTTGCTAATAGTGGCTATGGCAGAATTGAAATAAAGAGTCATACAACTTTGAGCTGTTTTGAAAACTCTGTAAAATAGATCTTAGTTCAACATTCCAATAGATTTTGTAAGGATTTATATAGATCCTAGTTAGTTCTGAAAGGAAATTCTATTTTTAAAAAACTTAAAGAATTTTCGAAATCCAATGAGTCACTTCTCTTGCAGCTCTCATACCACTCCTAGATGATAATTATACAAAAATACAATAATGCATGATAAATACATAATCTAATGACTAACTATCATTCATTTTTTTCCAAAAGCAAAAAAAAACTTAAACTATTTTTGTAACATTGAGATTACAGCAAAGAAAATACTTAACAAAATGATTGAGTAAGAGCAAGCTTTACAACAAAAAAAAAAGAAAATTTACAATGCAAATTCAGATTTTATATACGTTTTTCATGAAGCCCATTGATCTGTAGGTAAGGAAAATGTAGATATACGTTAATTTATTTAAATTTCAAATGTATATTTCATTTTGAATATTTTTGAAAAATTGCTTTCAAAAGTCCAACAATCATTTGTTTTCTTCGACGATCAGGATGCAAAAAGAACAAGACATATATGAAGATATGAATCAACTTAAAATACTGGTTGAAAAATGACCAACATTCACATAGTTGATGATCAGTCGGTCGACATAAAAATTAGAGAAAAAAATACAAATTTCCAATGAATTTTCTGATTAATTATTGGAAACTTCATTTGTAGATGAAAAAGATGATACCCTTCTTAAGCAAATATTATAGATAATTAAATCGCTTCAAAATGATTGATTCTCATAGATTTTTATGTATAATTGGTTTTGGACTTGCTTGCAAGATTTTGAAAGAGAAAATTTTGACTTAAATTTGGATGTCAGGTGGATGAGTATGTATCTTCTACTTGTCCAACATTCACATCATCCACCCACACCCAGACCCACACCAATCAGATTTCAGGAGGCTTTTTCTTTCTTATTGTTCGGACAACCACTAGTCATGTTCGGGCCGATCCTAGGGTTATCGAGGACTCTCTATTGAATAACTGGTATATGTGTGGGTCTTGGTCGCTTCTATCACTGAGAAATACAACATCGCAATCCCATTGGTCGAAAAATGGACCAATCAGATTACCGGAGGCTTTTTTTCTTGTTGTTCGGACAACCACTAGTCATGTTCGGGCCGATCCTAGCATTATCGACGATTCTCTATCGAATGAGAAGCATATGTGTGAGTCTCCGTCGCTTCTATCACTGAGAAATAGAACCTCGCGATCCCATTGGTCGAAAAATGGCCCAATCAGATTTCAGCAGGCCTTTTCTTGCTTTTTGTTCGGGCAACCACTAGTCATGTTCGGGCCGATCCTAGGGTTACCGAGGATTCTCTATCGAATGAGAGGCATATGTGTGGGTCTCCGTCGCTTCTATCACTGAGAAATAAAAGCTCCCAATCTCATTGGTTCCTTGTTGAACATGCAGATTTCTGATTGCTTCTTCGGTATTATCTCGGAAATTAATGTTATAGCAGGATCCAAGAACTCCACGGTACGTCGTTAGGATAGCTGATGGCGACTTATGGGTACTCCTATAGGATAGCCCCTGACGACTAAGGGGTACCCCCTAGGATAGCCTGTGAGAACTTATGGATACTCACCTAGGATAGCCCATGACGACTTATTGGTGCGCCCTAGGAGAGCCCGAGATGGCTTATGGTACCCCTATAGGGTAGCCCAGGAGGACTTATGGTTACGCCTATAAGATAGCCCATGGCGACTTCTGGGTACCCCCTAGGATAGCCCATGAGGACTTCTGGGTACCCCTATTGTAGGCCTTGAGGGCCCAAGGGTATCCCCTATAGTAGACCTTGAGGACCCAAGGGTCCCTCCATAGTAGGCGTTGAGGACCCAAGGGTACCCCCTATAGTAGGTCTTGAGGACTCAGGGGTACCCCTCTATAGTAGGTCTTGAGGACCCAAGGGTACCCCGCTATAGTAGGCCTTCAGGATCCTTGGAGGTGAGTACTAATTAAGGTGAGCACTCATTAGCGTGAGTACTAATTTAGGTGAGTACTAATTAAGTAACTAATTTGCGGTTACATATGCTGATAGTCTATGACTGGAGTTGATGAGATTGGACTGTTAGGTATCGTGTATATGGAATGGACTGGTATGAATTAGTAAAATATGGATGCATAAGTGAGCTCCAAATTTGGAGTTTACGTGTGGAGCTCACTTTTTTTGACCTGCAAGTTCATGTTCATGAATTTTTTTCCGAAGTATAGCACGAAGATTTTGGCATGGTTTTCCAGTAATAGTTGATGGTATGTTGTTGAATTTCCATACAGCATCTTGATATTCTTTTTCAGATAACATGACTATAACAATGAAATAAAAAATATAATGAATATTGATTCACTTTTTTAGTGGATCTGAAAATTTTTTTATTTTCATTTTATTATAACTGCTCGTAGCAAATATAGATCTAGTGCCAGTTATATAAATCCAAATTTTTGAATATGAAAAATGAAGAAATAGATTTTTTTTTTTTAAATCCATATATATGTCAATAAATATATTACGAAATCTAGCTTTTTTTTCGATTCTCAGTACCCGGGTTAAGAATCTGACAAGAATAATTGCATAATAATTATATTCAATGATAGATTTTGTATAATAGAATAATTAATTATATAAGAAAAATATGTTCTAATTTAAATATAATAGCCCTTCATAACCAGTGAGTAAGGGAAACTCACGCTCCCCGATCATGCTATGCTAAATTAAATCTAATTAGATTAATCTGTCAATAAATAATTATTTCATGTGGTTTGACATATTGTTATTACGGATCTCTTTATTGCAGGTCCTGTAATTAATAAATTCGTTGAAATATTGGTAGTAACACGTCGGTTGTAACTTGACGATATAATGTTCGTTTTTTGACGTGTTGAACGATAAATGTTTTAGGTGTAATTGTTTGAATAATTCTAAAGGGTCCTTCATAACGAACATCAAATTTATAACGGATGTTGAGCGTTTTGACAAGAACTAAATCACCAATGTTGTACGATGGATCAGAACGATTTACATCATAACGTTGTTTATATCGTTCTTGATTTTTTATAATATTAATTTTTGCTTGTTCGTTTAATTTTGATAAAAAATGACCAAGTTTTTTTCGCATGTTCAGAATCATATGCAATCGTAACATTTGCATCTTGATAATCGGATGGTACGACAGGCGATCGACCATACATCATTTCGAAGGGTATTTGTTTTGTTGAAGAATGAATTGAAGTATTGTAATTAAATGTAACAAATGGTAATTGATCATCCCAATCTGTTTTACGTAAATTTGATAAAGCTGCAATTTTTGCATCCATAGTTGAATTGTATCTTTCAACTTGACCATTAGTTTGAGGATGATATGGTGTTGAATATAAATGTGTTGTTTCAATTTGTTTAATTAATTCATTCATTAATGTTGAAGTAAAATGTGTTCCGTTATCTGTAAGAATACATTTAGGAGTACCAAATTTTGAATAATATCTTCTTTAAGAAATCTAACAACTGTTTGAGCTGTATTCTCACGTACAGCTTTTGTAACGACGAATTTTGATAAAACATCAGTAAGAGATATAATATATTTATTTTCACGTTGAGATGTTGGAGTAATAGGTCCATGAAAATCCATTGATACTAATTACCATACTCCATCAGGAGGTTTAATAGGTCTTAAAGTGCCAGGATTTTTTTGTCGACGAGGATTAAATTGTGCACATAGAGGGTGTGGGTGTGAAATTGGGTGTGGTTTAGAGCAAGACCAAGACCAGCACCCACATCCACACCCACACCCCACACCCACACCCTCTTGAACGTTCAGAGATTTTTTATTTATGATTATAAAATAAATTTCCATAGATA